GTCTTTCTTATAATAGTGTTTGTGAGTGGTCTGAGGAGAGTGCATTTATTGCTTTCGGATGGGTAAGTTACAGCAATATGACCGTGTATTGTCTTAAAATATCGGAAAATTGCCGCATTTTGCTATTAAGTCTTCTACGCTTTTTTGCTTATTATGGAATTCAACTTGTGCTTCTAAGATCGTTGCAGGGTCTATATTAGGATATTCAAAAGTTCCTATCTTGCTAAAGACATAAACACTAAGGAAGTTTTGCCATGAGTTCTCCAGTTTCAACGTACCTACCGTGAATCGCAGAATACTATCCTGAGATCGGGAGTGGTACGAAATAAAAACTGCTGTGAACTGAGTGGCACCTACAAAACAAAATTATATGAAAAGAAGACATTTATTTGTTTGTGCCCTTACTTCTGGTAGACCTGGTCGATCGATCATTTGACCGCTTGCTAGAAGAATCTCGCCTCGTACAATTCCGTTCACAGCTATACCACGTACAAATCCGGTACAAAGAATAGTCTTAAGTATATTTAAGATCTACATTTTTGCATGGAAGTGGTTTAAATTATAGCGTATTGGTGCTTAGGATCCACGCTAAGTAATATAACGAGTTCTTTCAAAAGTTGTTTTTTTCTAACAATTTCTTTGTCCCAAAATCTTTTAATAAGTTACTGTAAATGTTTGTAGAGTTCGACTAACTTCCAGTACGAGTAATTGCGGGTATGAGTGTGGATAAAGCCTGATTTCATGATGATGATAGCTGTTCACAAGAACTCTTGTAATTTCAGGTAGCAGAGGGATTGTATAAGGCGATAACCGGTTTTTTAGGCATTGATTTGTTTTGAGGAGGAAGAAGATAGTGACAGGAAAACTACTATTGCCCACCTGTTGGTATTATATAAACCTACTGCTGTCAATTTGAAATATTTTTCCTTGTCTGGTAGAGTTGAACTAATTTCATTATTTTCTAAAAATCAACACAACTTTTGCATATACTGTGCTACCACTAAAAGTAAGTGAGAATGTGATCTTGATGACACCCTCCACTCACTATCTACAAGTAGCACTTCACGTTAGCAGGTTCACTGCATTGCGGCAATTTTCAGAAAAACTATTACCCCAACAACATAAGCAATATTGTCTTTCTGTTCATATTTTTCTAATAAAAACATTGACAAATGGATGCCGCGCCACCCTTTTACATTTCATGCGCCTTGCTATATATGTATGCCAATATTTCATCATAGAAATGCTTTTATGGCAGTACATGTCAGGAGTAGCTAGTTTTCTCACCGCGTATGCTAATTTTGCTAACAATGACTGATTGACGAAATGTAATAGGTACCAGAACCAAGGGCCTGCGAAATCTGGTTGAGGTTAGAGGAAAGATACGTGGTCAAGTGGTGATTCAAAAAGAGATGCATTACATGCACCTTAAAAAGCTGACAACTTTGCCCTTTCTGCAAAGCGTTTTTGGAAGAATTATGAAAATTTTTCTGTGACGGAATTAGTTTGTGCGGGTTGTCAATAACTGCTGTACAACATGGAATCCAACCTGCAACAACGAGAATTGGGCTTCTTTCTTAGGAAGACATGTTTTCATCAATATTCTGCCTTTAAGCTACTGGTTCAGGTAAAGGAACTGTTGTATTTGATCAGTTCCTGCAAGCCATTTTTGGCAAAGAGTTCATAATTTTTTCCAGAGAAATGCTTTGCAGAGTAGAAGGTGGATTTGGAACCAGCACCTCAACTTTTATTCAACAGTGCTTACCTCTAATGCCTACTTCGTCTAGGTATCCTTTTCTTCTAGTCAAGAGAAGGGACAAAACACTTTTGAGTCTCGCATTTGCAGAAATAATTTCGTTCTCGTTTTTGTTCCTTCATATCAAAATCTTCCACAAGACTTTTACTTCCGATGTTTTATTCAGATTTGGCATCTTATTCGCATCGGTCATATCACGCTTAGTATGGACACTTTTAAAATTGTCTGTAGGTATTATCAGCAGTCATTACGTACCTTGTATCCGGCAAACATAAACCCGCAGCTTCGCTTTGGCAGCTTTGACGTCATACGTAGTGTGAACTGAGTGCTAGACTCTAACCTGCAATTATTCTTGATTCACCCTACGAGATAGGTAAGGATTTTCAAACCGAATTTGCGTAGGAGCGTGATGAAAAAGCAATTTAACAGAACTCTTATATTAATTTCCTATTTCAGTCTTGTTTGAAAAATAGGATGGGCAAAGCGAAAATGAGAAATTGCATTTTGATCTCGTCTGAATTAGTAGTAAAGCGCATTTCAAGGGTGTAATTTGTAATCAGAAGTTTCGGGAAAGAAAAGAAGCTCAACGAACTTAACTTGACAGCCTAAACGTAAATTCTCTAGTAGCTTTTTGGCAATAAAAGACAAGTTCATGAAAAATGCATTCGAGCCTACTTCTGTGTGTAAGTTTGAGGAACTCCGACGTTAATAGACATAACATGGTTGAGCACAGAAAAATCCTCTGGATGTACGAATTCGCTCATGCAGCAGCCAACCATTTGCACCTGAACGCGTGAGA